AGTATAAACTATTTGGGGCACAATTAAATAACATGGGCTCTAACAATGGAAAACCAACAGTCTCAGAAGAGCTCTTGCAACTAAATGAAGAACTTAAAAACACCAGAGCAAACAGTGTAAGAAAAATAACCATAGAAGGTACCAAATAAGCATCGAGACATAACATTTTAAATACTTACAAATATTTGGTTTCAAAGCATAAATGGAGCATGTGGGCTTTCCACATTTTTTCTTGCCAAGTCCCAGGAAAAACTGACCATACTACAGTCATCTAAAACAGCTGTTAGGACTGATTTTTCAAATATTTGGTTTCAAAATATAGACCTATTTGCACTTTAAAACTCAGATGCCTGCATATTCCCACTATAGCACTGCACTGTGATAATTCTTTCAAAGGCTGCTGACAAAAACAGATCTTTATTCATGGTGAGAATTGCTTCAAATGGACACAGCAAAATGTAGGCCTTAAGTTCTAAAGTCAATTGTCCGAGAAGATAATTTGTCTGGCACCAAAATACTTTTCTTTCTTTCTTTGTTTAAGGCAGGAGTTGAACTTCACCAGTTATTTAAGGTTAAAAAGAGAGGGCAAATGTGAACGGTTAAGACTCCAGTGCAAGGAAAAGAGTTTATGTTTACTTCACTTAAAATTGTTGCTTTCCTTAAACTAAGTTTCTTATTTAGCATATTGTTCTGTGGGTACTATCAAATCTGCTTCCCTTTGTTGGAAGGTCCAAGCCACAGAAATGGATCTTAGTCTAGAAATGAGAGTACTTTAAAATACCCTTTCCCACACTCTGGTGTAATTATGCTTGTTTTCCAGGACTGGGTACAAGCATGGCTACCTAGTTGTAGTCCTAGACTTCTAACAGTTATCTAATACTTTAAAGTAACACTCTAGGAGATTGGGGTGATAGGTAGTACAGCATCTTCTACTTTTTAGATACAGCAGACATCAATTCTGATCGATTAATTTCAACTAGTCTGATTTATCTTTTCATTAAGATGGCAGCCACTAAAAATACCTATACCTTTATGAACGGCATTGTTTCATTTCCCTTCAAATCTTATTTAAATCTTATTCTTGAAAGAGGCATTCTTAAAATAAAAAAGACACATCATAGCACAACTCAGAAAAGGAACTATATTTGGCATCTTTTAAACAATAGTCCATCTTCAACCTGTTCTTCTGGTAAATGTTATACAAACAGAAAGAGTAAGACTTACAATGGCTAACAAATATATGTTGAGTGACATAACTGATTAATGGGGTAACTGGAAAGTTTTCTATTTCCCAACTTAGCATTTCTCCCTTGCAGGCAGCTATAGGGAAATCCCAGACCAATTAAATTTAGGTAGGTAAGAATATCCTCAATCTTACCTCTTTATGCACCTTCCAACTGTCTACTGTCACATTGAAGAGAGCTTTGAGGGCCTCAATGGCACAGTCCGTCTCCTGAGGTGAGAGGGGAGGTCCATTACGGTCTATGGCCGATTCGTACTCATCAGTCCACTTGATGCTAAAGGCACTTTCCAAAATCTGGGTTAGCAGCGGGAGTCCCTGGAGCTCATAGCGCAATTGTGACCTGATATCAGTGTGCAAAAGTGATAGGAGGAAGAGTAAGCGCAAGTCAAAGCATTTAATGTCGTTGATGAACTTTCGGTCCTTGCACTTTCTCAGAAGGTTACAAAGCTTTGCAGCAAGGTTAAGTTCCAGGCTGAGCTGCTGTGCCATCTGACTGTTAAACACAATGTTACACAGACATTTTAATGACTCCACAATAACGGGGAACTCTGACACCTTCTCCAAAGAATCATCCGACTCATTTAGCTTGGCTAGTCGCAGCAGTATCTGCATATTTTCCTTGGTTGTTACAGGAACTAAAATCTTCTTATCTCTGGAGAGAATGCGGAGAACTTCCAGGCAGGACACTTGACAGGTTGTTGGGATGTCCTTTACAAGGACTTTGAATATGCCTTCACAGAGTTTCTGAAAAACAAGAACAAGTATGTATAAATCATCATTTGGCTTAAATGATTTAAAATAGAATGTTTCTCTACCAGTGAATCTAAGATCAAGATATGGCTAGAAAAGATTTTTTTTTTTTTAATCACAAAATGTCAGAACTGAAAGAGAGCTTATATTTGGTGTACTTCTTTCACTTTATAGATATGGAAACTGAGAGCAAGAGAGGTTAAGGTACTTAAAACTGGGCCGGAATGAATTAGTGGGATCTTACATAACTTTGTACTCAATGGATTTTTAATATCAGACTGTACATAATATCAGGATGGAAGACAATCAGTTCTGAATCATAGCTGATGGACCTGAAGTGTACAAACACATTTTGAAAACCATTGTTCTTCCTGAACATTTATTGTGAAAAAAAAATCACAATTATAAAATGACTGCATTTTTGCAAAAAAATTATACATCTCTATATAATAGACAATGAAGAATGGTTAAAAAGATAAGTACAAACAGTGCTTATCTTTGAATGGTAGGTTTTTAGGTAATTTGTATTTTCTTATTGCTTATATGCCTTTTTCCCCTTAGATCTTCTACAATGAGCATGAATTATTTTTATAATAAGGAAAATAATATTAGTTATTGTTAAAGTAATATTCTAAAGTTGGATTTTTCTGTATAAGTTTTCCATATATTTTTATTTTAGTTGACAGTTTAAAGTATTAACAATTCTTTAGCTTCTTGTTCAAGTAGAGAAAGATGTCTTTTATCTGACAATCAAGAGATATTAAAATCCAGATAAATGGACTCTTGTTGTCAAGTTTCTCTGTACCCTTATTATAGATCTTCTTTTTGCTAAGTTATGGATACCTCACTAAAAGATTTCTGCATCTTATTACATGTTCTTCAATTTCTGGGAAATGTTCATCCCTCCATTCTTCATAAGCTAAATGATTCTCAGTCTTCAGATCTCAGGAGAGACCTCCAGAGGTCTTCTCTGACTATACTAAGCATTCTCCATCATTGCATTGTTTCTTTTCTAGCACTTAACACAATTTGAATTATATGTTTGTGTACTTATTATCTTTCTCACCAACAAAAATGCATGAAAGCAGAAACTATGCCAATTATTTGCCAGTATATTTCACAACGCCCAGCATAATATCTAGCAATTGTTCATTAAATATTTGACTGAATGATTGACTAAATGTGTGCTAAAATTTGAATTTGGAGACTCATAGAGACTCAAGTGGCTTAAAGATAACTTCCTACACTCTTGCCTATATGTGTTGGCAAGATCCTGTCTTCAATACTGGTTAAATTCCTTGTAACTTCAGTAATGACCCAGAGCCACACTAACTAGGCACATTTTATAACAGCTATATCAACTGATCCTCCACTCACAAGAGGCACTAGATCTGCTGAGATTCCTGCTTCAAGACCACCGATCCTTTTGGAACATAAACATTCCATAGCATAGAGTAAGTATTCGCCACTTCAACATTTTCTAAAGCTTCTTCCACCCTTATTACTTATAACTGAAGCACACTAATGAGATCTAATCTCAATTTACTGATACTTATTACATGTCATTCCGTATATACTGAAGGGAAGCCACTGAATTATAAGCCCTTTCTGTCAGGCATTTTTGTAGTATAAACTATTTGGGGCACAATTAAATAACATGGGCTCTAACAATGGAAAACCAACAGTCTCAGAAGAGCTCTTGCAACTAAATGAAGAACTTAAAAACACCAGAGCAAACAGTGTAAGAAAAATAACCATAGAAGGTACCAAATAAGCATCGAGACATAACATTTTAAATACTTACAAATATTTGGTTTCAAAGCATAAATGGAGCATGTGGGCTTTCCACATTTTTTCTTGCCAAGTCCCAGGAAAAACTGACCATACTACAGTCATCTAAAACAGCTGTTAGGACTGATTTTTCAAATATTTGGTTTCAAAATATAGACCTATTTGCACTTTAAAACTCAGATGCCTGCATATTCCCACTATAGCACTGCACTGTGATAATTCTTTCAAAGGCTGCTGACAAAAACAGATCTTTATTCATGGTGAGAATTGCTTCAAATGGACACAGCAAAATGTAGGCCTTAAGTTCTAAAGTCAATTGTCTGAGAAGATAATTTGTCTGGCACCAAAATACTTTTCTTTCTTTCTTTGTTTAAGGCAGGAGTTGAACTTCACCAGTTATTTAAGGTTAAAAAGAGAGGGCAAATGTGAACGGTTAAGACTCCAGTGAAAGGAAAAGAGTTTATGTTTACTTCACTTAAAATTGTTGCTTTCCTTAAACTAAGTTTCTTATTTAGCATATTGTTCTGTGGGTACTATCAAATCTGCTTCCCTTTGTTGGAAGGTCCAAGCCACAGAAATGGATCTTAGTCTAGAAATGAGAGTACTTTAAAATACCCTTTCCCACCCACACTCTGGTGTAATTATGCTTGTTTTCCAGGACTGGGTACAAGCATGGCTACCTAGTTGTAGTCCTAGACTTCTAACAGTTATCTAATACTTTAAAGTAACACTCTAGGAGATTGGGGTGATAGGTAGTACAGCATCTTCTACTTTTTAGATACAGCAGACATCAATTCTGATCGATTAATTTCAACTAGTCTGATTTATCTTTTCATTAAGATGGCAGCCACTAAAAATACCTATACCTTTATGAACGGCATTGTTTCATTTCCCTTCAAATCTTATTTAAATCTTATTCTTGAAAGAGGCATTCTTAAAATAAAAAAGACACATCATAGCACAACTCAGAAAAGGAACTATATTTGGCATCTTTTAAACAATAGTCCATCTTCAACCTGTTCTTCTGGTAAATGTTATACAAACAGAAAGAGTAAGACTTACAATGGCTAACAAATATATGTTGAGTGACATAACTGATTAATGGGGTAACTGGAAAGTTTTCTATTTCCCAACTTAGCATTTCTCCCTTGCAGGCAGCTATAGGGAAATCCCAGACCAATTAAATTTAGGTAGGTAAGAATATCCTCAATCTTACCTCTTTATGCACCTTCCAACTGTCTACTGTCACATTGAAGAGAGCTTTGAGGGCCTCAATGGCACAGTCCGTCTCCTGAGGTGAGAGGGGAGGTCCATTACGGTCTATGGCCGATTCGTACTCATCAGTCCACTTGATGCTAAAGGCACTTTCCAAAATCTGGGTTAGCAGCGGGAGTCCCTGGAGCTCATAGCGCAATTGTGACCTGATATCAGTGTGCAAAAGTGATAGGAGGAAGAGTAAGCGCAAGTCAAAGCATTTAATGTCGTTGATGAACTTTCGGTCCTTGCACTTTCTCAGAAGGTTACAAAGCTTTGCAGCAAGGTTAAGTTCCAGGCTGAGCTGCTGTGCCATCTGACTGTTAAACACAATGTTACACAGACATTTTAATGACTCCACAATAACGGGGAACTCTGACACCTTCTCCAAAGAATCATCCGACTCATTTAGCTTGGCTAGTCGCAGCAGTATCTGCATATTTTCCTTGGTTGTTACAGGAACTAAAATCTTCTTATCTCTGGAGAGAATGCGGAGAACTTCCAGGCAGGACACTTGACAGGTTGTTGGGATGTCCTTTACAAGGACTTTGAATATGCCTTCACAGAGTTTCTGAAAAACAAGAACAAGTATGTATAAATCATCAATTGGCTTAAATGATTTAAAACAGAATGTTTCTCTACCAGTGAATCTAAGATCAAGATATGGCTAGAAAAGATTTTTTTTTTTTTAATCACAAAATGTCAGAACTGAAAGAGAGCTTATATTTGGTGTACTTCTTTCACTTTATAGATATGGAAACTGAGAGCAAGAGAGGTTAAGGTACTTAAAACTGGGCCGGAATGAATCAGTGGGATCTTACATAACTTTGTACTCAATGGATTTTTAATATCAGACTGTACATAATATCAGGATGGAAGACAATCAGTTCTGAATCATAGCTGATGGACCTGAAGTGTACGCTATCTTGTATTTTTTGAAAAATAATTAATGATTATTTCTATCATTGCCAAAGTTAAGAACCACTGATTGTTCTCTCAAAATTCAATGTCCAGCTTTCTTCTCCTGGGTCCCTCAAGCTCACACCTCACATGTGGAGCAGGCAAGTAAAACCATTCCGCTCTGATCATCACCTCGCCCATTATATTCTATAAAAACAACTATGACTAACATAAGATTTTACAAAATTTGTATTACTTATCATCAGAATTTAATTCTTTAAAAAGAGGCTATCTGCGGGTCAAGTAAACATGATCTTGGCAGGAACCCCAGGCTATGTGCACCCTCTCAGAACATCTTAGTTGTATAATATGGAAATGTCAACTTCAAAAGTACTACATTCTGTAAATGGAAGTGGAAAGGAAATTAACCTGATAAGCTAAAAATTTTTCATAACAATGTGAACTCTATTCCTGCCATACCTGAAAACTAGAAGGGATTTTCATTTAATGTCTTACTATCATTAAAGCATTCTTTAAAAACAAATGCACTTTGGAGGTGGGAGCAAGTATAATGTGGCCCATTATTAAAAATAAGTAAAGCAGGAAAAAGTTTCTCCATTTTCAGCTCTTTCATATCCAGACCAAAACAAAACAAAAAAAAATTCATTTTACACACTACTTCTTGTGTGGCATATTCCTGGGGGTGAATTCAGATAATGTTTGCTCCCACATATTCAAGAGGGAAATCTACATCCTTATTTAAGTTAAGAAATATGTAATAAATAAGGTATTATAAAATATTATATATGTGAATTTGGAGTTCTATGAATCTAATAAGACACAGACATCATTATCTCCTTCCTTTCTAAACCAAAAATAACATTATCAATAAAATCCCACTAAAAAATCTACAGGCAATATGACTCCTTTCTTCTTCTACCTTTAGACTCAAGAAAGAAAAAGAGAAAAGCATGGATGGAAAGCTAAGGCTATAAACCAAATGGACTATGAAACTCTGGGATATAAGATGGCTACATGAAAGACATTAGAGGTGCCTACAAATTTATAGTTAAAAACTGTCTTCTAAAGGCTTGCAGATCAACTAGCAACAAAAGACAAGAGTTCTAGTTTTAAAGCAGTTTTCAATCACAGTTGTTCTTAAACATGCCATTTCTCATTAAAGACTTGCTTCACATAATGACTCTTAGTAGCTTTTTGCTAGTGTCTCCTGAAAAATTTAACACCACTTTTTGGATAATGACCCCTCTACCCCCAAGACTTTGTATTAGAACCTAAAAAAAATGAAAGACCTACTCAAAAGATAACAAAAATGATATTTAATAGACATACCATTGCTATACTCAAAACAATCATTTCTGTTCAGAGAATGTTATAAAGAGCAAATTAATAAATCATGTACATTTGAGTGAATCAGAACTTTTGTTTTGCATATGTACACCAGGCAAGAGGACTGAAGAGGTAAGATTCTTTACGATTCCTCCATCTGCTGAGTATGTGCATTGCTTCTGTTTCAAAGGTGCTTTTATATTTCACCTTTATTTTGCTCTAACAGTATTTTTCTGTGCTGCAATTATTTTCTCAGTTGATTTTATTCTTCCTAATACATGTCCTGCTCACTTGAAACACTTCCCATAGCTCTCTGCTGTTCACAGAACACAACTAAAATAAGCCCAGTGTCCCCTTTCCCACTGATGCCTCTCGTCCCCGCCCCTCTCTTTCTCAAGTACTACAACCTCATTTCCGGTCCTCTGACCATATGTCCCGGGCTTTCCTTTGCTTTTCCTTATCACGGCATGCCCTGTCTACTCAGTCCTTTGCTCTCTTTGTATTTGTGTCTTCAACAAGCACTTAGTTTTTGCCTTTTTATACAGTAAGCTGCTGTGGCATCTTACTCCTTTCCCAGGGTCTTTGAGAACAGAGGCTGTTTCATCTGTTTCGCAGTGGCTGGCCCAGGTGTGCTGTAACTATTTTTAAAGCGCAAGATAACCATAAACTCCCAAAGATTACCTGCCTTAATGTCTATCGGCTGACTCTCTAGGGCCTTCCAAAGAATGACTCCTTTGCATTCCTCCTCCACCAGCCACCACTCATTATCAAGTCTTCTTTTCCTCTTTTTGCAAGTACAATGAACTATAGTTTCATTACATTTTAGGTACAAACTTTTAAATTACTTTCAAAGTATTTATTTACACAAACTCATTTTCATTGCTTTACTGATATATTTTTTAATCTGAAAATTATTTTCCTATTTTAGATAATCACCCAACACATATTTTTTTCCATTAAAATTAATGGAAACATTTCCTGATTTAATAACTTTTCATGTAGGTCGGGTTTTTAGGAATGAACTAAAGTCATAAAGATTAGTTATGTTTACAAAGTATAATTATTAAGAATTAAAGAATATGAGAAAAAGCCCCTTTAAAAATGTTCATTAGCTTAGCAAAAGATGACTATTTGCATAAAGTTAGACTGCAGGGTCCTGCAGCAGAGACTAAAGAGTAAGATCCCAAATAGCTCCCCCAATGTTAATACCAAGTATTGCCATGAAATTTTTAGTAGTTCGCTCTTAAGTTGAAACCCTACAGTATTATTAGAGCAGTGGTTTCTCAAACTTCAGCATGTTATCATAATCATCTAAAGGGAATGTTAAAACAATGTTGCACCTCACTCCCAGAGTTTCTGATTTTGCTGGTCTTGAGTGAGGCTTCAGGAACTGGGATTTTAAAACGTTCCAACTGATGTTGCTGCTGCCAGTTCGGGTGCCACACTCGGAGAACCACTGAACTATGGTTGACAATGGACTGACATAACTCGGATGGCAGAGGGCAGGAGTTAACTGAAAGTAACAGACCAGAAAAGTATAGGAAAGTAAGCAGAGTTCAAAATCATTAGCACAAATAACTTCTCTGACTGTTGTGAAGATGTATAGGGGTTGTAGAAATAGGAAAAGGTTGTCATTTTCTGGTCATACAACCTTTCTTAACTTAAATGTTAAAAACTATTCCAGGTGTGAAGCACATTATTTGTTTACAGTTAGTGGTCCTAGGCTTGAAACTTGTTCAATTTACCATGGATTCTAGAACCAGAATAGTATTGTAATTAAGAACAGGGGTTCTGGATTTAAAATGCTTGCGTTCAAATCTTGGCCCTTCTACTATCTTCTAACAGTGTGACTTTGGTCAAGTTATTTAGCCTCATTTACTGTTAAGAGTTAAATGACATCATACATGTATTGCACTGAGAACAGTGCCTAGCATGTGATAAGTCTTCAGGTTTCTTTATATTACTATAAGAGAAAAATCTCAAAGTCCTCAGCTTAGCATTTAGGAACCTCTAATCTGCTTTTTGAGTCTTCTATTTTATACTATTTCCCTATCAAACCCTCTTCTAGCTTATTTCTGTCCAAATTATCTCACATTGAGCTCTTCTGCTTTCTTATCACCTTCCCTCTACATGTATCAGTTCTTGTCCCTCTCTGACCACTGAAGTTTTAACCATTCTCCAAAGCTAAGTTTAAAATTCACTTTTGATATACAGCTTTCCCTAATCACTTCAGCCCCCAGCATCTTCCTTTCTAAGTAATACCCAAAACCACAATTTGTAGCAATAATCTGGTGCTCAGCAGATTCTGCCTGTTAGTTTTCTCTTTATTGGTTTTCCTCAACTACTAACAGCTCTATGAAGGCAGAAAGGATATCTTTTTTTCTGTAAGAGAAGAAAATGTACAGCAGTGGCTTTTGAATCATGAAGACGTGGGTTTAATACTGGCTTTGTCACTGTGTGATTTGGACATGTTATTTCACTTCTCTGAACTCACTTCCCATTTGTAAAATGGAAATAATATCACCTATATCTCATGGGGCTATTGTGAAATAGACTCTGGGACATAATAAGTACTCTTTAAATGGTAACTATTATTACGTTCAACTTCCTCATAATCCTTATAGTCCTTAGCAGAGCAACTAGCATCAGTAAGCATCCAAAATGCAAGCTGACTGGATTAAGAAGTTTCCTAAAGCTAAAGCATTAGCAGAGGTCTGTTAATGTCTTGCTTTTTCTCCATTCTAAGAAGGAAAGAGAGAATTAGTAAGGCCATTCTTGTGAATGCATTGGTAGGACAGTTTGCCCCACTGGGTAAAAAAGTCTTTTCATATGAGCAGCAGAAGTTATGTGTCTTCATATATAGTTCTTTTTTGGAAGCGTTTAAATTACTTAAATATATTTGTTCTTTAAAATGTAAAATTCATCAAAGAAAATATAAAAACATTCATAATTATACTAACTAGTATATTTTATATGCAGTAGACAGAAGGATTTATCCTTAATCTACTTGATTACCAGTAACATGCATTTTTAACATACAATTACAATCAACATGTGTATACAGTTTTGTTCTGACTTCTTGGTTTTTAATTTAATTGCAAGTATTTTTCCACATTGCTACAGAGTACTTACAAACATAACTTAGATGCAGTATTAAATACAGCTTCTGTTCCCAATAAGTGAATCTCTAGCACAAAATACAGCAGAGTCCAGAAAGAGTAGTGGACTTAGCATCAGAAGGGATGACTTCATAATTCAAACAGTTACATTAAAATTGTTAGTGTGTTTTACATTTTACAAAAAACTTTCATATATGTTCCTCAA